TTTCACAGGAAGCCTGTGCGGCTTCACTTCCAACCTTGTCCTAATGCACATTTTACGCGAAGCTATAAAGAAATAAAGCTAGCTCCTTGATTTAGTTTATGAAATTAAAGTTGACAGTATTCACATAACACTACATCATTGTCGTACAGCTAGTTACTCAAATATCTATGACGTACTTCACATAACCTTACGTCACGGATAGGCAAATTACTTTGTTGTTAACACAGACGTTAATAACAATAATGCTTTTCATTCAGGCAGTAAATGAAAGTTTCGAAATGACAACGATTTCTATATATTTCACGACTATGATGCATTCATTTTTCAAATTTTATATATCAGGCGATCGTTCACGCCATTCATGGAGGTGAATTTCCTACCCTCCGTGCTCTAATAATGTCACTAATGACCCATCTACGTAATTATATTATGTGTTTGATCGTATTTACACTCGCCGTAAAAGGTTGGTGATCGGTATTTACATATGGGTTTTAATTAGTAATAATAATCATGCGAGCTGTCATTCATTTGTAGGCTATACTATACTTAATTACTATTACTATTCCTATTGATGGAACTTTGAAATTTACCGCAACAGTCTAATATTTGCAGTTCTCCTGCGGGTAGGCCTACCAGCTTCTGTAGTGACAATCATATTGTCCAATCGGCTACAATCCTCAGCGCCCATGTTCCTTATTATTATTATTATTATTATTATTATTATTATTATTATTATTATTATTATTATTATTATTATTATTATTATTATTATTATTATTATTATTATTATAATAAATAATAATAATAATAATAATAATAATAATAATAATAATAATAATAATAATAATAATAATAATAATAATAATAATAATAGCTCTTAATGCTTCTTTTATCAAACGAGTAAAGAACAAGATCTATCGAAATATACAGAGTGATTGGTACCGTAAGCTACAAAATACGGTGGTCCAGTACGACAAGACTATCCACATCGCCGTCTTGGTATTCCCAGGGGTGTCTCCCGGGTACCTGGATACCATTGCATACGCCCTATGAGTTTTAATGTCAGTCAGATCATCTACAATTTCCAGTTATTCGATCGGTAGCATTTTATCATCTTAGTCGATTCTTTTGTATCTCAGTGTCCATATCGGAAAATAACTAGGTCTAAACTATACAGAATAGCATTGGTTTAGGCCTACAGCATTATTGGAGATTACTAAAAATTGTTATAAATGTACTATTGTCTTTATGATCCAACTCCAATTAGTGAAAGTCATTAAACGTGCTGTTGGCATCGAATTCCTTTTAAAATATTGTCGATAATGAAAGCTGAAGCGTAATGTTGTACTTGAATACATACCGTACTGTTTCACCAAAACGGTTAACGTACGGTATATGCGCAGGATGTAAATACTTCATTCACCTGCTTGTGTTCGTTGCTTTATAGTTATAGGCACTTATATAATAATAAAACACATTAAGAAAATCGCAAAGCAAGAGGCTGAATTTCGCATGACGCCTTCACCTTTCTTCAAATAAGTATTCGCACGGTATGACGCGACGCGCAGAGGGCGCATTGCGACAGACAACTGCTTACTACTCACTACCTGTACTTTATTTTATAATAGGAAGGTATGAAGGTGCATGCCATCTCAAAAGATGTTATTTATGTAGGTCTATGACTATTTTCGTTTGCAATGCCTCAAAACACCTGCAAATGAAGGTAAGACAAATACGCAGGGCATTGATTCACTGGGTGTTATGATAGAATTAAGCTCCAGTATAACAGTGACACCTGATGCTTAGGGGCGTCAATGCCGAAATTATTTTAGAGTTTATTTTACCTGCACGCATCATTATCCTGTCGATGACACCATAAATTATATTACAAAATAAGTGCTCTGCTTTTATTTCTGACCCGACGATTTAAACACACGTTTTTAGTGTCAGGTTATGTAACTAAAGATCATACATGTCTATGCTGTGAGCCATTATACTATATTAAAATCTGCGTTTTCTCCTACATTTTACCAATTTATTGCCGTCACTGATACACACGAGCTAAGAATTTAATTTGAACTAGAATACCAGTAGAACTCAATATAGGTCTATCGGGTTTGCAGGTGTACGAAGTTTGACTGCAAACTCATGAACATTTACTAGGCACTGCAATTTAATAAATCTCGTCTTAAAAGTAGAATAAAGCAATATACCTATTTGTTTCTTCTAAAGAACTTCAATCAAATGTCAAAACTTGTAGTTTGAAATATACCATTTCAATTGCGTTTTACAAATCCATCAATTATACAATCTGTAAATATAGGCCGAGTATCTCAGTGCTTTATGAATGTAATTATTTTCTGCGGTTGCCATCACCCACTAGACAAATTTATAACATTCATATAAATGTACTGTAATGAGTCAATAATTCGTCTTCCATAAATTTGGAAATAAATTTGCACGGTTGTCTGCCGACGCGATTCCATAAAATCTCGCCGCGACTGACGCGTCGTTTGCGACGGATCGTTTTTCAACGACGATCTGACCAGGCTGCCACCGACGGCCGGCGGATTACCGTAACGCCAAAACAAGCTCTCTCACGGAACGCAAATCCTTGTGTAGACGGAAGGTCAATAGTGAGATTATAACATTTTAAGTTTGATTTCACATATACAGGACACACAAAACGGTTATGTAGTTTATTAAGGATCTGCGCGTCGAATCTTTGTGATGGGGTTTGGTTCCATTTTCAATTTCCAAGATGCCTACAGATTTCAAAACAAAGACAATATAACAGAATAGTAGATAATATAAGCCATATTTAGTATGACCAATTCTGTTTTTATTATATTTTGCAGGGGTCACGAGAGATCACAATCCACGGTGTGTCATTACAACGCACGTATCATGGGACAACTAAAGTAAACCTATACAGTAAGATAACAAATGACGTAGTGGCGTTTTCCCACTGAATTAAAGTTGAGTAGAAATAATCTTCAATATACACGATGGCGAGCAACAAACAAGACGTCGAGGTGGTTAGTGCGTCCGAAGATCTTGGTACGACTGGAATGACGTTGCTCACTTCCGAAAACGCCACCGCCAGCTCTGGCGTACAATGGAACGAACAATTGGCCCAAATTGAAGTTACTGTATTATGTATTATATTTGTTCTGACTATACTTGGTAATTCTATTGTTATCATTGCGCTCTGGCGATTTCGACGAAACTTCACACGTATGCACTATTTTATCGTGCACTTGTGTCTGGCCGATTTACTTGTCGCTCTTTTCAATATCTTACCGCAGATTATTATGGATGCTACTAGATCATTTATGGCGCCAGATTTTATTTGTCGTTTTGTCATGTTTGGACAAGTGTTCCCGATATACCTGTCGACATATATGCTTGTGATGATGTCTGTTGATCGCTACCTTGCTATATGTTATCCAATGGCTGCTTTACGCGGGAATAACGAGCGCAGGTCACGTCTAATGGTCATGTTAGCTTGGTCCATTTCATTTGTATTTGCTCTACCGCAGCTTGCACTGTTCCATTTGGAATCAACTGGTCACCAGAATGAATGTAATGAAAAGTTTAAGAGTGATAAAGGCTCATTAGCTTATATGTTGATGGTATTTTCGATAGTCTATTTAATTCCAGTAATTATCATCATTAGCTGCTACGTCCGCATTACGGTGACAATTTGGAGGAACGTTATTGGCCTTAAAGGGTTAAAGGAGAAAGATTGTGAAGAAGGTGGAGAGAAGCAGGAACATAGGAGACCCTTCATTGCGAGAACCAAGCATACGACTAATCTGGACACCGGATCTGCGCGATTGGAAAACAGCAGGCGACACAACGCGGGGAGGTCAATTTCCCGCGCAAAAACTAAAACCGTCAAAATGGCAGTGGTGATTGTTGCTCTATACATTATCTGCTGGTCGCCTCAGTTTGTGTGTCAACTTTGGTTCTCGTTAGCCCCTCAAAATGCTCCAGTAAATAGTAAGTTTGTATGGCATTATGAATGTATCTCGCGGCACGTACTGCCGTGTTTTGTCACACAAAAAATATGCCTAAATTAAAATTTTCAAAGAATCGCAAATACATAAGAAATCCCTTATAGCTTAACATTAACAACCGAACATGCATAAATATATCAGTGATTTGGCCTTATTTTTGACATAATTGAGTTTTCTGGTTGGGTCTAGACTCCTGGTTCGAAGTGAATGAGCTTGTTATTATCGTATTCATTGACGATTTCCCACGCATGGGAGCAATTATTGTAGATAGGCCTATTGGCAAACAATAAACTCCGCTTATAATATATCCAACTCTCTATCAATGATTCGTATATATTCCCGAATCAAACAAGATTGGCCAAGGTCATGCTATTACCATTAGGCTTAATGAACTAATTGATTTCCAACATTAAATTGAGATCACTGAAAAATCGAGGGAATAGTAAACTCGGTTCCCAATTTAAACCTATGTTTATTAGACAGAAAGAACAAAAAGTTTAATTAAAATATTGGAAAAAAAAGAACTGAAACATCAATAGGTCCACAGTCGTACATTGACCAATTTGTTGGCCTAATTAAAGTATTTTTGCCTTATCATAATTGGCAAGCCCATAGTGCATAAAACAAGCATAATGATTGGTTGACAATCAAACCACGCATTCAATATTTCTACTTTAACATCACAAACATACAACTAAAACAGCAGTGAAAAGGTATAATCACTCAATTTTGAATGCGAAATTCGTCGATCTATAGCCTCCGGAAAATTATTCCGATTAGCTATAATCGGTACGTCATCACTATATCAGCGTATACTCTGATTCTCAATCATTCATAAACCAAAAGAAATTTGTATCACTCATCATATCACCGGTATTGTTTAATCCTTACTTATGTGAATTGATCCATGAAACATGGTTTCCATAAAATCTGCGTCTAGGCTGCGTCCTATTGCCGACAGTCACCCGAAGATTGGAAGATGATTGGACAATAGTTGCAATTCCTCGCCAAGTCGGGAAGGTTGAACCTGGTTCAACTTTGCCGATTTGTCGCCGACAACTTTTGGAGCCTCCCCAGTTGCGTCGTGTAGCAATTCCTGTTGCGATTTTATGGCTTAAATTGGCAATTAAGCTGGTGCAATGTTTAACTTTTCTCCCTAAAAAAATTCCGTCGTACTGTAATACAAAATACGCACAAACAAGTAGCATCCAATTCCCAAAATGCATCCTACCAGACTCTGCTATACTCCTGGGTGGAATGAGGAACACACTTAAGTAAAGTGTCTTGCATAAAGGCGGCCATTTGAAACCCCGGCCTTACGATTGTGAGCCCGAACCTTGCGTCCTCTATTTTAACCGCTTCCATGAAAGCCGAAAATGTTTTTATATGATGTGTCAAAAGACCACTTTCCAATATTTAATTAATACCTGTACAATGAACTCTAGAATGGACCTTTCCGACTGTCAATCAAACTTAACATGACCAATCAGAACAGTGCCAGGAATACGTGCGTGTCTAACACGAGTGACGTACATTAACTTACGTTGTGATATCTTAGCAACAACATCCAAGGGGCGGGGCTTTTTTGGAAGTTCCATTAGGCCTACCTACCCACCTAGAGTAAAATGCCAACCTACCAAACCCGATTTCCAACTGTTTCCTACATTTTGAAATCAAATAAGCATAATTAACCCTCCAAAAACCCGACATAGATAAACGGGACATGCGGTGCAATACATAGGCCTAGTCATTTTGAGGCAAACATATACGGTATTGATTAATGCACAGTTGTAGACCTGTACTGCAACTGTAGGCCTACGAAAGTACTACTAGAATCGTGAGTGTCCATATGTAATAATTACAATAAAGCAACCGGAACTTCTTAAACATCGGACTTATTATGTTGAATACATTAGATAAATGGCTTATTGTAGGCATACCTTCTTCCTGCTTGGGTGCAATTATTCTGACCTAAGACAATTTTGAATTTAATTAAACAGTGCTGTTTTTTTCTACGCATTTTCCTATTTATTAAATGTTTCTCTGATACACTGCTTATTCACGTAATGTTTCAATGTATAGTTTTCAACTTATGTTATATTAATTCGTCATTTGCTGGATTGAATTGTCTGCGCGTTTTTTTTTTTTTTTTTTAACTGGTATAAGCCTAAACTGCACATTTATATAATGTTTTAATGTTTATCGTTTCGTGTTTTTCTTTTGCGTATGTCATTTTAATATCTCGTCATTTAGGATTGAATAATGTTAATAATACTACCATTACTGCAACTGATTGCTCATTTGTTATCAAAAACTAAAAGGTCAAGTAAGCCTAACACTTCAACACAGTTGGGTGTAACAAAAATATTATTGACCCAACACGTTACAGTTTCGTTTGCCTGTCTGAGAACATTTATCTCCTGTAGTGAGGCATACCACACATATGTAGAAATAAATTGTTTTAATGAGTTAATGAGTTGGATAAAAAATGAGTACTCAATCCCACGAGTTTTTATTCTCATAGGACGTCAGAAATTAACATGCTATGACAAACGATCAATTTCAATCAGCGGGTAGCATCATGCTAATATTTTTTTCTTTTCTGTGTTTATTCTAAAGGTGAACCGTTTGTTATCATCTTACTGCTTGCAAGCCTTAACAGCTGTACAAACCCCTGGGTATATTTGTCGTTCAGTGGAAACGCCATCTCTGATTTAAAGAAGCGTCTATTCATATATTTGGGTTTGACCAACCAGAAGACGAATATGCAGAGCAAGCGAATTCGCACGACGACGCCGAGTTCAACCGTCCCGCAGACCGTGAGCTTGTCGACGATACGTCTCAACAACAAGAAGTACGATTCACTAAACAAAGCGACCAACGTTGAAACAACAACATATGAGTGAAATACAGTTGAGCCTATAGTTATAACATGAAAGTATTTATTATACTGTACTTCAACAATAGTTAATAGGCCTATGCCTTCTTTGAGTGATGTCAAGTTTATTTACTGTTTAAAAAAACATACACATGCTACCTGGTCTATACCGTAACGCACATAAGAGTTGGTACTATAAGGCGGTACTCTGCCGATATAATGTGTTTTACTTCGTGTGAGATACTCTGTTTCGTTATTTGAGGTTTAGTATTAGGCCTATTCGTCACAGTTTTCGTAACAAGTAAAACGTTCGAAGAAGCATCGTGGTACCTGCCACAACTCGACGCTTCATGGTAAAAATGACTATAAGAGTATATACTGTCTCTTACATCTGCAATGCGTTTTACTACTATATATAAGGTACTTAAGTTATATGGCGCTTGTTCATTTGAGCTTTAAGTAATGTTCTTAATAAAGAGATAAAACATTTATTCACTGTGAGATCATTGAACAATGATGTACTATTAGCCTACTGTGCAAATAGGCGAATCTTAAGTATGCTGTATGCCTGGAATTGTAATCGAAGGAGAGTCTCGAATGTCAATACTTGAAATTATTTAATGGAATGTAAATTGTGTACATGGTTTAAGGTAACAGTCACATCAAGTAACATTATCGTTTGCATCCGTGCATACATTGGACCAATGGAACGGAAGTTACTCTTGAATAAGCTACTAGGCCTATATAATTCTAGACATGTTCGGTGATGGACATTTATAACATTAGCAGGCCTAACTCCAAATAAACGTAATCTATTAGTTTATAGGCCTACTTCCTTGTATGTGAACAGATAGTGAAAACAAATTGATGGTAATGTCATGTCTATCGTTTGTCATCCTAATTGTGAATCAATGTTTAATTTTGTTACACATTCGACACTTGTTACGTCTTTTGCATGACTCGTGACGTGTGTCACGTGTTATCTACAAATGAAGTTTCGCGCCAATATAGGTAAAATCGCTAATAACCTGTATTTCCACAATCTGTGAGCGGAAATTTAAAAGAAAACCAAGTAGACAACAGAGCAGTGAAAATGTTATCATATACTTTCGGTAAATAGACTCCGAAAACAAATTCCCCTCACAGGTTGTGGAAGAGCTTCAGTCAAACTGATAAGATTTGGAGCCCGATGAACTTTTATTATATGTATCAATCAAATTTGACTACTGACCAAACAGAACAGAGACATTGAGCATGCGCAAACCGCACAAGCACACATGTACATAAATGCATACGCTCAGACGCTGACTGACAGGGACAGGGCTTATGGAAAAGGTTCATAGTACCTAAATTGACGTGACTGGTTATGCCTTACAAAATGTACCCCCTCTGTTGACATTTAAATTCAATATTTGAATTGTTATTTTGTACATTTAAGAAGGCAAAAGGCTTCCTCAAAAGTTAGCAGACGCAATAAATACCACCGTTGCTATATTCTTGCATATTGATTGGTCAATTGACTGGTCAATATAAGGATTTTTTCTAGTAAAAATATATATGTAAATCAGCAAAAACTGGGTTAATCTGGGTTTTTTTGTGTCTCATTGGATATTGAACGATTATTTTAATTTTTTAATACTACAGTTATTAATAATAAATAATAATAATAATAATAATAATTAATAATAATAATAATAATAATAATAATAATAATAATAATAATTGAGAATTTATATAGCGCAAATTATAAAACAGTGATAAAGTCAAATGCGCTTTAGAGAACGTTGTTTCCTTAAAAAATAATGTTTTGATGTTAGCTTTGAAAGTGGATATTGTTGAAGATTGCTTAAATTGTAATGGTAGAGAGTTCCAGAGAGTACGGTAGTAGCTGCAAATGTGAAAGATCTGTTACCAATAGTTTTGAAGTTGGTACGGGGAATAGATAGAAGGCATTGGTGAAAGGATCGAAGGTAACGAGAAGGGGTGTATTTGGGAAGAAGTTCAAATAAGTAGGATGGTTGTACAAAGGTGAGAGCTTTGAAAGTCAAGAGGAGAATTTTGTGCTTATCCGGTCATCGATTTTAAGCCAATGAAGATTATGTATAATGGATGTGATGTGTGAGCGTTTGTTTGTGAAAGTTATGATTCGTGCAGCAGTATTTTGTATTGCATACTACCACTGCTAGGGCCTACTTACTACACTACCACTACTGCTACTACTACAGTACTACGACTGCTACTTACTAACTGCTACTAGTGCTGCACTACGGAAGTCAAAAATGGTTAACCCCAACCGGCAAAAAACCCCCAGTTATTACCATAATATAATGTGATTTACGTTCCTGATAGTGACTGTTCTATTTTCTCTATGTATAAATTAAGTTGTTCTTCTTCCGGTTCCACCTACTCGTTAATTAGGCCTAGTTTTGGAGGTCATGTAACTCCTATACACTATATAGCATTATTTACCATAAAGCACAAAAATCCTCTTGCTTTGGGGGTTTCGCCGACCCCACCGGGGCTTCGACTGTGGACTTCACGCCCAGAATACCCCCCCCCCCTTGGAAGAAGCTGGTTACGGGCCTGTTACTGTACCTGCTACTGCCATTGCTATACCGTAAAACTTCGAATAGAAGCCCAGTGGTCTTAATCTCGAGAAGAAGCCCGCTTGGAATTGAAATCCTCTATTTAAGTTTGCAAAAGTAGCCTCGAAAAAGAAGCCCATCTCAAAAAGAAGCCCATCCAAAGTTCGGAAAAAAAAAGAAGCCCAGGGCTTCAATTCCATGTTTTACGGTATCTTATTTGTACTGTTTACTGCTATATAATTTGGCAGTGACAGGACCCCGCTATCCACAGGAGAGTGAGTAAAATGTAAAACAGGATTTTGATGGGAGTCTATGTTCACATCACATTACTTTTTAAGGAAACACCATAAATTGCATTCATAAGCGCATTTTATTTTACCATTCTATAATTTGCGCTATAGGCCTACACAATTTGAACTATTATTAATAGTAGGCCTATTATTATTTAGCTTTTACTACTATTATTATTATTATCTTTCATTTCAGTAATTATATGAAAATCAATTTATAGTTTGTCATGCTAACCGTTCTGCTACTGCTACTATTTTACACTGCGACGCAAATACTTACGGCACATGTCCTATATTATTTCAATGTACCCTTGGGCCTTATATACTCGTTAAACATAACCTTTCGCTGACCTTCTGAGTTTTATAACTATAGTCTTTATTACGTTTAAATTAGTATTGCGAGTATCAAAGTCTCCAACGTAATTTATATTGGGATCTATGTACCTTCTTATTAAGAGAACCGTATATTGTGCGATATGCGATATAATATTAACTGCGATGTATCACTAACAATGATTGCCCCTGAAATGACATGAGCACCTGTACAGGTATGCGAATAAGTAATATCTTAGGAATATACTCGCATGTGATATGATTGATAACAGGTGGCAATTGTCTGTGACGGTGTTAAATTTCTTTTCACGTTGGGTTCTGCAAATGACAAAAATTCTATTACAAAATGTTGACGATGATACTGTTGTAAGTATTAGTAGGACAGGGTGGGAAGCAAGTTAAAAAAAACTCCATAAACTTTTAACAAATTATTTTGCGTACGACGGTAAAGACCGTCAAAAACTCCTTAAAATTCATTCAAGGCATCTAGGCCTTTTTTTTTTTAACAGGAAGTGGGGCGAGGGCAGTGATAGTTAATTTTTTGTTCTGTTCACTCTTGTTGATACTTATCCTTAACTATTAAAGGCGGCAAATATAAGATTCATTATTATATTAACTTTCACCTAATTAAAATTTTCACTTTAATTCGTTCATTAACAATACGTTACGTTAAAAAATATAGGGTTTATAATAGACCTATATTTTTTTTAACGTTTGTTGCTAGCACGGCCTACACTGTAAATAAAGGTTGTGGCATAGTTGGTATTGAACGCTGTGACAACGTATTATAGCTATTTTTGTCAAACATGTATTGTTGACTTTGAAATTAGACCTAACTGTTGAAACGTTATTTTGATTTTAGATAATCCAAATATTGTATGAGTTGAAATTGACTGGTATTCGAAATGGTTTTGTAAATACATTGCACTTGATTTTTAACAGCAGAGTAACTTATTAATTTAGTTCTACTTGTGAGCAGGACCTATATACGATGGCTATTTTAATTTAATAGTATGTATATAGATTGTGACCCAGACACACGCATAACTGGATTAATTTAATCTGGAGTTGGCAATTAAAAAAAAAAGAGTATTTTGCGCGCAGTTATATTTGATGACATTGTGATCAAGTGTAACTGCGAGCAAAATACTCTTTTTTTTTTCGTGTGTCTGGGTCACAATCTATATACATACTATTAAACTAACATAGCCATCGTTTATAGGTCTGCCTGCTCATATGTAGGACTAAATTAATAATTCTCTGTTGTTAAAAATCAAGTGTGCAATGTATTTACAAAACCATTTTAAATACCAGTCAATTTCAACTCATACAATATTTGGATTATCAAAAATCAAAATAATGTTTCACCAGGTAGGTCTAATTTCAAAGTCAACAATACATGTTTGACAAAAATAGCTATAATAGGCCTACGTTGTCACAGCGTTCAATACCAACATGCAACAACCTTTATTCACACTGTAGGCCGTGCTAACAACATTAACATAGTTTGTTATATATTTGAAAATCTGTGTTTTAATATCCTTTCCCGTTTTTTTCAAACATCCCCTCAACAGTAATAGCAAATCCAAGAGCTTATAAATAAACACCCCATTCTACCACTATTCTGAATTTACAAAATAAGAAAAATTTTTCTGTCAACCATATACTAACTTGTTACATAATTTTTAATCAAATATGAATATTGAGTACAGTAGTAGAATGAGGCGCAAAAATAATAATAAGCCTCGGTTTGTTTGTCCTATCTCCGTCATGGCCGACAGTTCTTGTTGACACACAACATAGTGATCTGTGTCGGTCCGCAGTCAGTTCATACAATTCATGGTAAAGGTTGTTCCACTAAGGATTTATTCTGTCGATAAACTTCTAGAAGCTTCTTATTCTCCCTAGAATAAGAACTTTACAGGGGCGGATCCAGAGATGTCCAAAAAGGAGTGGGGGCCGAAAGTTGGGCCGATCGAGACAACACTCTCCTAGGGGGTCCGAAAATGTTCGTGTTCTAGACGCCCAAAAATACCATTTAAAGTGTCTGGGCTATACTTTTTTCTTAATTTTTTTCTCTTTCTTTTACCTTCCAAAAGGAGGGGCGGGGCCGGGCCGGCACCCCTCCCCCTAAAGTTTGAGTATGGAGGGCATATGA